CTAATAGATCAACCTATTTATTTATATAATATCATATAATAAAAATTTATATATATATATATATATATATATATATATATATATTATTAATATATTTTGATGATGGTGAATAATGTGAAATATATAAACATCATCTATTCCTCCAATTTTATTAATTAAGAAGTGATTCATTTCGACAGAAAATCCGAGTCTATAATTCTCACCACCAAAAACTTCCAACTTTATCCCCATAGTTTTTTTATTAGATGGTTTAACAATAATTCTCTAAAAAAAGTTTTCGCTTAAGATAATTATTCTTATTTATATAAAAAAAATAATAATATTGTTTATATATTCATAAAAAAAATATTTGTTAAAATTATAGTTATATAAAATAAGTATTTGTTTTGTAGATTTCACATACTGAAAGTGCTGAATTTATCAAAATTTGAAGCAAAAGGTTCAAATAGTGGAATGAAGAGTGAAGGGACTTGGAGAACATGTGACTGTGGTGGGATAGCCATTGGAGGAACAAGTGATTGGCAATAGTACCCCCATTTCAATGCTGTTAAAATAGTGGCCTACACATTTCTGCAAACAAATCCATACACGTATTCATTATTGCAATAAAACCAAACATCAAAATCTTGAAAATAATTCATGTCCTTATCTCACCCTTTATCGTTAAGAGTTAAGATTCCTTTCTCAAGTTCATTACTAAAACCAAGGTGGAATTGGGTGGAAAAGTGATTCATTTTGATAAGAAACCCGAGTCTTTTTTATTATCACAAAAGGAACTTATTCCAACTTCACCACCATAGTTTTTTATTTAAACAATATTAAAAATATTGTGATTTCAATTTAAAACTAATGAGTGTGTAGGTTAACTCATACGTAATTGTTTTAACTTAACTAATAAATTAGAATACAAGTTCTAACTATTTTTAACAATATTAAAAATATTTTTGTTAAGAAATGACTCCTAAAAATAATTTGACATAAAATAATTATTTTAATTTATATATATACGTTTGAATGTTTGATAAATAGTCATTTAAATTTATAGATTGATTTGAAAATTACGTGATAATATTGGATACGTGAGAGTCATCTTTCTTTTCGTAATTGAATTGGAATGGAATAGATCTTTATAAAGGGTGACGTTTCAAACGGTGCCACTTCGTGTTTTTTCATGCTGTTGTCCTCAGTAAAGAATAATTTCAAGTAACAGAAGAAAAGAAATTGAAGAAAAATAATAATTTTACTTAAAAAGAAAATTCCTCAATTGTAATTATAACTTATAAGCTAGTATTTGCTTTGGTCATTACTTTAATTAGCGGTGCAATATTTAAAGCATTAAATATCAACCACATTTGACGAAATACTTGGGCGTGTCAATGGGCATTATTATTCATTGCAAACAATAAATAGGTTAATAAAATGTTTTTGTGTTCCATTTATGTAAAAAAAAATTACACTGATAATATATTTTTTAAATTATTTTATTTTATTTTATTTTATTAAATAAGCAACTGACATGAAACTATTAAAATATATGATTAATTGCTAGTGTAAAAAAATTTCACTGACAACAAGGTTGTCAAACTAAAGAGTCTACACAAACTCGTGGAACTCTCATAGACTCGTAAGAATCTACCTAATATTAAAAGATATTAAAAAACATGAACACACACAATATAATATCACTAATTCAACATTCTAAGTCTGAAATAAGTCAAATAACAACAATAAAATGTCATAATACAAATCTTAACCATTCATGAACAACCGAAAGTTGATTGCTTGAAGACTTTGAGCCACCACCAATTTCAAACATCTTACTAATTATAGGAGACAGGAGTAACTAGTAAGAAACTAAGTAACACTAACAGACCAAAAAATCAAAAAATGTTAGGAGTAAGAAGTAACACTAAATAGCAGGAAAACAAAGTCAAACGGTGACTGGTGGGGAGCAAGAAAACCTGACGAACAGCTCGTCGAAAACTACAGGGACGAGGCCGGAAGCTGCAGGGACAAGGCTGAAAGTTGCAACGACGGTGTCAGAAGCTGCAACGACGACGCTGGAAGCTGCAATGACGGCACTGGAAGCTGCAACGACGGTGCCGGAAGTTGCAACGACAATGCCGAAAGCTGCAACAACAGCACCGAGTGGATTGAACTGTTAGGATGCAAGTAAAGTCCCACATCGTTCAAACAAGAGGATGGACATGGGTTTATATACACACAATTGTCTGGATTGGTTAAGAGACCTTTGGGTGATGTCCAAAAGCAAAACCGTGAGGGCTTGGGCCCAAAGCGAAAAATATCTCACCAATGTGGAGACATGTGTATATGTGTGATAACCCCCCTAGTGCACAACATGAACGAAGCCGGACGGTGTTTCGTATGTTGTGGAGGGAGAGAGATCGAAGAACAAAGAGGAGGTAGTGTTCGTTCGTATGCGCGGAGGGAGAGGGATCGAAGAAAATAGAGGTGCTCACTTAGGAACCCTAGCTAAAACGACGTCATTTTGGGGCATTTAGGGGCAAAAACAAACCTAACGTTGACTTGCGGACTCGCCCTCAGACTCACAATTCTGAGCGAGTCTACCCGAGTCCATCAGAGTCTATCAAAAAACGATTCTGTTCGCAAGTTAACTAGTTTTGCTACCCTAGACTCGTAGACTCGTACGAGTTTACGAGTTAACTCGCGAGTTTGACAACCATAACTGGCAGTGTATAGGTGATTAACTCAAATAGTTTATCTATGCAATCATATTGGTGATTTTTTTGTTGGTCACCATTTATTAATTGTTTAAGGTTCCATGCGAAGTAATTAAAAAAATATTTATTTGTGTGGGACTTCCCTTGTAGATGAATATGATGATAGGGTAAGGAAGATGAATGGTGCAAAGGCTTGAAACGCAACTACGTTTGTGGCTGTGAACCTTAGATATCTAGAGTTGTATGAAGATGTGGTCCCATGTCATGTCACAAGTGGTGAACATGAATACATGATGGGGTGGCTATTGTTAACTATAAGGCCCCGTTGGGCACTAGCAAGTAGCAATGAAATGAACAAATTGATGGTCATTGAACTTTCTGTGGAAAGACCCACCATGAGTACTGGCTGTTACCTTTCACATTTTGAATCATCTAAACGTGTGAAAATGTATGTTGTGGTGAAAATTATTGGTAACAATTTAGAGTTTGGAGACACTACTTAATTGGGCATTTGGGGCTACTTCCAAGAGGCAAGGAAGTGCTTTCACTTGTGGTTTGGTAAATATATTGTTGGACTTGTTTTAGTAAATATATTGTTGGTTTGGGATGTGATTAGATAAACTTCTTCATAAATATTTTTAGAAGTGAAATAAAAATTAATAATAAAGTTTTTCCATAAGATATATGGCATGTTTATTTAAAGAAAGTGTTTTTTTCAACTTTCTTTGTTTTTTAAATAAACACTCCTATATGTGTTTTTTTTTTTAAATATATTTTACAGTCACTTATTTTAAATTTAAACAAATTAACCCAAAATTATTTTAAGCACAACTTCTTTTTGTAGAAAATCTCCTATTTTAGTTTTCTTTAAAAAAAACTGATTTTAATTTATACATAAGCTAATTTTAACAAATAAAAAAAATTATTATTTAGGTATTTATAAAGAAATTTCATCCAAACTTAACTTTGAATTAAGAGTTAGAAACATTCACAACGTGATAAAATTAATTCACTTGGATTGAGATTTTTTTTTTCACATATATGATTCTAACTCAATCTTGCTTGAAGGAAAAAAAAAACATAAATAATAGCAATTCACTTTCTAACACATTTTTTACTACAACCTAAATATATTAAAAACTACAAAATCATAAATAAAGCTCTGTTAAATTAGATAAGACCTATTAATTTTCATGATCTTCAATAAATTTCAATCAAGTAAATATTGTATTGCTGACATTTCTCAAATTGTATCTATACCAATGAACTACTCACCCCTTGTTAGAATAACAATACTTTGCAACCATCTCACTAGGAACTACTTAATGATGGGAGATTTGAGTAGTTTTATGAGAAACAACTTCATTTTCTACCCATGAATGTGACATAAAACGAAACAACCTTAAATAAAGAGCACATGATAACTATGAATGTGACACATCTTTAGAAATGTCAACAACCACCAATTGAAGTAGAATACGGAAAGAAGTGATAACAGGGGAAAACTACATCATTTGCTACAATTTTAATCAATTACTATCATTCAACATTGGTGTTTGCATTTGAGCAAAAAATTGTAATTAAATCGATGAAGACAGCACACCCTTCATCAAGAATGAGCAATTTACAGATTCATTGTCCTTCAATAAGAACATAATTCATATACACCCTGATGATGCTTAAAATGCACGCGTCACAATCAAATCTGTCATGCATTCATTCCCTCATGAGCAATTCAACTAGACTCAATGAGAGTACAAGCTCAGATACAACCTTCAAAGTTCAGAAGTTGTGTCATGTGCGACATAATTAATTCTGTGGCCTCTCTTGTCTTCAAGAGGAAAAATTGGAAGATTTACTGTGATGTAGAGCTACTAATTGTAGGGTCTGTTTGATAATACACAATATCCCCAGTGTCACTGACAAAATGGTCTTTCTTCATGCTTCTTATCAATTCTCCAATCAGGTAAAATGGAAGAGGGGTAGACTTCTTTGGCTCCCGGTAATATTTGCCAAGAACTGGCTTAGCTGCTTCAGTCTATAAGTGGAGGAGCATAGACAAATTCAGATTTATGCAATTAACCAAAATCACCATTCTTTTACTATAAAACTTACATGCAGTACTGTAAGTGTTGTTTTTCGATCAGAATTAGAGTTTTCTTTGATAATATGCGTTATGAAAGATTTCATTAAATGTCCAAGCATATTACGAAGATAAAATATCAATTCTGATGGGGAAACAGTACTAACAATACTTATGATATTGTATCTAAGTTTTATCCTTTCTTTTTATTCATTGAAAAAGTGGATAGGGATACTCACTGCTTCTATTAAGTGATAGTGTGGTATTTGAGGAAAAAGGTGATGAATGACATGGGTTCCAATATCATGGTGGATGTTGTTAATCCATCCATAGTCACGATCAATAGTTGTAAGGCCACCCCTAAGGTAGTTCCATTCCTGCCCAACATAATGAAGGATAAAGCTATGAAGAAAGATTGAATTTTGATAACTTCAAAGTCCTCACAAACAACACAGAAACTTGCTAAAGAAAGAAAAAGGCAAGAAAGGATACCTCTCCACGATACCAAGGTAATTTGTCTTCATGCCCATGGTGATGTAAATAAGTCACCAAATCCAACCACATAACAAAAATCTACAATTACAAAAGTAAAATTAGGACTTCTTTTGGATTCCAAAAGAAAGACACATTATTAATTAAGTGTCTCTTCATAGTTAGAAAAAGAGATGGGATTTTACGATGTAGGGAATGCCATAAAGCTTAAGCAATTGAACTGGACCCATCACAAATCCCAAACCAGCAAGCAAAGCAGCCATAGCTGTCCAACAAATTGTTGAAGTAATAACATCTTTTTTCTCACTGGGGACAAACAAGTCACTGTTTGGATTAAAGTGAGAGCCAGTCTTCCCAGGACTCCTGCTCCACTGAATTCACAGAACATAGAAACAAAGGTCAATTCCTACACCAGAACCACCAGCAAAATAAACGTTCACAGTTCTGGTGAAAGTTAAAACCGTTAGGCACAACAACTTACAAGGTAGATAGGATATGCAAGCAATGGAAAAGGTATTGTAAATCTTAAAATACGTGTAACATTGTCCAAGCTCTTGAAAATTTTCTCTGGCAACTGCAATATTGACATTAAACATTTTGAGTTAGACCCTTTGGTAGATACAAAATATTGGAGAGAAAAACAGGTTCTCATAAGAACCAGAACAAAGATAATCAACTCACCGGGTGCCAAGATTCATCATTTTCAACATGGCCATGATTTTGATGATGTGTTCTATGACTGATTCTCCTGCACAATTCATGAAACAAACAGTTTCAAAGCTTAGGCTAGAAATAATGCAGATAAGGATAAGCAAAGAACACAAAACCAAAAAGGGACTAGAAGAACAGCAATTCCTGAAGGAGCATTAAGCGTACCATCCATGATATGGTACTAGGATTGATGAATGCAGCAAGTGCCCGACAACACTGTTCAGCTTGGGATTGTTGGAAAAGCTTCCATGACCACTGAAAGATCCAAAACACCAACCATGGTCATCGTAACAAAATTTTGAAACCCAACTTTGCCACCCCAAAAGGCCAATAAACAAGTGAATCTAGATCTACATTAGTAAAAAAAAACAAAAAAGATATGAAATTGGGTATTACCAATCATGACCAAGAACAAAGAGGGCCCAGAACATGGTTCCCTGAGCAGCCCAATAGAGAGGCCAAACCAACCAGTTGTTGAGATAAGCTGCAGCAGCAGCCATTCCCAAAACCACAATGACATCCCTCACTACGTAACTCATTGACTTCCATGGGTCCTTCACCCAACAGTGTTTAGGAATGGAAGCTCTAATATCTGCCAATTTGAAAGGTGGTGGTGCACTAGGGTCAAATTCTGGTACTTCCTCTCCAACCCCATTAACCCCATTGATCCTCTCTTCCTCTCCTTCAGTGGTGGCAACCCTAAGTGGAGCACTAACTCCCAATTCCCACTTTCTCTCCCTAAAGTTGCAATATGATAACCCTCTTGGTTGGAGATTCAGATCTGACAGACCCTTGTTTAAGCCCAAAAGCCTTAACTTTGAAGGCTTTTGGCACGGAACAGGTCTTGTTGGCCGTGGAAGCACTGGAGGAAGAGGCCTTAAGCCACATTCTGATAAAACCCAAGTTGCCATTGGAGAAAAGGAGGAAGCTTTAGGCAAGGGGTTGTTGGGTTTGGATGATTAGCTCTTTTTACTACTTCATGGTCACCAAGGACAGAAAGGTAAAGTTCTTAAGAGAGAGAGAGAGAAAGAATATGTGAACCAAATTATAAGGGTGTAACTGAACCTACTACAATCTAGGACAATCAAAAACACAAGTTGAGTTTTTTCTTTTTTTTATCTGTACAAGTTGAGAAATTTAAGATATGGCAACAGACCCACTTGGGTGTTTCAACAAGAACCTCACGTTTGTGCTATACTTTTCTCTCTCTTAGGTTTTTTCCCGTACACCTCCTTCTCAAACCCGAAAGAAAATAAAGGTGTTAGCTTTGGGAGAACAAACAAAAGGGTCGTTCTGGTTCATGTTGTGGCCTTAGAGATTGTAATTGCTTAAATACAAGAGAGGGTGTGGAGCAATTTGGGCATGTTTAAATATCTATAGTGATCACTTTTTAATTCCACGTTCTTATGTTGGGTTAATGGAATGAATATGGAAGTTCACTGTTCCATCGGGTTTGACCCATTTCGGTGCAATATTTGGGGGAGTGGAGGCTCCTATTCTATTGCCTTTGCCTTTGGTGGCAACTCATTGATCACACATAACTGTAACAAACCCTATTTCATGAGTGGTTCCACTGTAGACCAATAGAGACTGAGAAGACATCTATTTCTCACGTGAGAAAAATTCCTTATAAATTAGAATTTTTTTTCTGTTTTCAGGAAATTTTTTCAAAGAGATTTTTTTAACAACTTTTTAATGATAATATTTTTTGGATTTTTCTTAATCTCTTACTTATATTAATATTAATCTATCATTTTTTTTATATTAAATTTTAAATTAAATTTCACATATTCTAAAATTATTAATTTATGAATTTTTAATTTAATTATAATATAATTTATATATTAAAATATTTATTTGTCATAAATTTTAGTTATATAAAATAAAAATATATTAATATAATTTATATATTTAAAATGATTCATGTTTGTTATAACACTCATGTTTTCAAGTGCTAGTTCAAGTGTGTATTGAGGTTTTGTATGGGTGAGTGGGTTCAACCTCAAAAGAAATTGTTTTTCTGATGTTTCTTGAGGGGAAACTTATATCCTGAGAAAAGTTTTTAAAAGGGAAGTCAGATTCTTCTTTCCTTCTCTCTTCTTGAAATCTCGTTTTTGCTCCTTCTAATAGTTGATCCATCTTACAAAACTTGTGATTTAAAGCTCAAAGCCAAGAATCCTAGGTGAGAAGTGATGCAGAGTCGGTTGGAGTTGTTATCTTTTCCTATCCTCTTTCCTTGCAAATAGTCAAGAGGTAAGGGAATCACCGTAGAGTCATGCATCCGTCTTCTTTTGCTTACCAAGGTATAAGGGGAGTGAGAAACCTCGCTCTGAGTGTGAATTTGCATGCTAGATAATGGGATTGATCATGTGTATGTTGTATGCCTGTATATGAAGAGTTTCTCCAAATGCATCTGCTTTGCCTCTTGTTCTTCTTACACATAACTAATGATATGAATTGTTTAAATGATTAATCAATTGTATGTTTTTAATTGTAATTGTATGATCTAAGATCTATGTGGATTCCTATGGGAAACCATAAGAGAACTTTATTATGATGGTAGTGTAAAGATATTGGTGAGTATGTGTAAATTGAATAATATGGAATGTTAATTGTATGTTATAGAATATGTTTACTGATTGAATTATGTGTTTTGATGATTTGAAGTGTGACTCGTAATTATGTGTTTTTTGATGTGCGTGTTATTTTTTATATGTTGTTGGATGCCACTTGAGACACGTCGAGCGTCGTCTAGGCTAAGAGCAAAGTTTGCTCTTGGAGTCACTGGGCATGAGCTTACTTACGTCAGGCATGGACACTCTAAAGAGCTCTCAGTGGTGTTCTTGTCAAGTATGGGCTTGATCACGTCAGGTGTGGGACATGTGACGTTAGGCATCATTGTCCTACCTATAAATCTCTTATTGTTCTTCTATTAAATTTCATGTTATAATTCTATATTGTGAGATGTGGATGTGAATAAATAATAAAATATGAATATATATATATATA